AGTATCTGTGTATTTTCTTGTTAAAGAACGCACCGCCTAACACTTACGAACTCATGCTACACCTCATATATGCGTAATATTTGCTTTTCAGTCGACAATGTTCCCAAGTATGAACGCAGCCACCAGTGCAAGATGGGTGGACGTTCAGCAGAAGGCTGAACTATGGCCGGGTGACAGGCAGATTTCGAAGTTACGAACTTAACACTGCCACAACGCTGAGGAGTAGTTTCGTTATACCATTGTATCGTGATATCGCATTGAGTTCTTGTGTACATATATGCCAACATTGTCATGTATATTAGAGCAAATGTCTTCACTGCAACGTAGTGATGTTAGTCGTGAAATATAGATGTGCCGAAGTGTATATGCCCTGTTACTGAAATGGTATGAAGCCTTTGTGTTCTGTACATGCTGTAAATAATTTCTTTCTAAACGGAGTAGTTTTAAGTGGGACGGCTCAGTGCTCTCCCATAGTTGAGTACGAAGTACTCGAAATCGTTAAACATTTTTTTCTAAACATTTCATAAGGCCACGGTACGGCTTTATGCTCTCCCTAGTAGAGTTCCAAGTACTCTAAATCATTAATCCTTATTTTTCCAAACACAAGCACCCCAATATCGTCCTACAAAAACCAAAGTAAAAAAATAAATGAAGTTTCCTTGAACACAAAATAACATGCAGGTTGTATGACAGAAACAGGCTCGCGGAGGTTTTGTTGGTGGACCTACGTTTGTCAAAGGCACGTTGTTATGCATGTCGTGTTAGTTTTAAAGCATTACTCTTTTACGTCACGTCACGATGTGTCGCTCCCAGTACTCGCCATGTGCAAAAAAAAAAAAAAAGATGGCAAGGCAGTTCTCACAATGATAGGCCCAGCTATCAAAACGTCGGCCACACGCCTGTCGCAGGCACCTATTCTCATGCATGTGACCCATACAGCATAATGCGTTCATATGCATTGGCTTTAAAAATTGAACCAGACAGGAAGAAGCTAGGACAGAATAAACGCGCGAGAAGGCGGGTTATACAGGTAACAAAGCCGATCTAAGCTTGCAAGGTCAGAAGTTCAATACCGCAATTTAGATTTTCCGAAAGTTCATTTTTTTTGTTTATGAAAACATACACTTTCAAACAGTTCAGAGAAGGTCAAGCGAACTACGAGTGATGTGAAGTTGACAGCTGACAGGTGGTCAGGTAATATTCTACAGTGCTAAGAAAGTGCAACAGAACCCCCTACTTAGAGCTACCGCAGCAACCGAGTATGCAATGACGAAATTAGAATCGAAAGCAGATGCCGGACCATTCCCAAGCAATCGTATATTTACTTAAAACGCGTGATAAAGGAATCGTTAAAAGAAAAAAAAAGAAGAGGTCTGAGGTGCGGCCGCACTGGCGTCCACCTGCCGGTAATGCACTCCCTCACTAGAGCAGGACTTGCCACCCTGGTGCAGCACTTTGCCACTACCTCCATATGAAAGTACCAATCAACCCTTGGGTCTCAGTCCCCAGCGGCTGTGAAGCCAAGGCGGCGGTCAGACCTGCGACGCAGCGGAGGGTGATAAGAATCTCTGGGTCCGAATAGGCCGCCATTGAAATCTGAACTTGGCTACGTTGAACGCTAGAATGCTATCCAGTGAGGCTAATCTAGCTGTGCTCTTCGATGAGTCAGAGGGTGTTAAATGGGATTTAATATGGCTCAGCGAAGTTAGGACGACAAGTGATGCTTATACAGTGCTGAAGAACAGACGCGTGGATCAGTTGGCAGAAAAGGACTAGGGGTGGGGTTTCTTATACTCAAAAAATATCGCTGGAAACATAGAGGAATACTATAACATCAGTCAGAGAGTGGCAAGTATCATAATTCAACAAAGATACAAGATGAAGGTGGTACAGGCCTACGCGCTTACACCGAGCCATGATGATCATTTGTTTGAACGTTTCTATGAAGACGTAGAGTCAGCCATTTTGAAGTAAAGACACAGTGATGAATGACTTTAATGCCAAAGTAGGCAAACAACAGGCCGGAGATCATAAAGGCCAGAGGGGAGTTATTACTAGAGTTCGCAGAACATATTAATTTACGAATCGTAAATACCTTCTTAGGAAAACGGTCTAACCGTAAGTGGACGCGGTCTAACCGCAAGTCCTGATGACGACACTAAATATAAAGCAGACTTCATTTTGTGTGCACACCCTGGCATTTTACAGTATGTAGAAGAAGTTTGCAAGATCCGATTCAGTGACCATAGAATGGTAAGAGTTTGTATTCACCTATATTTAAAAAAGCAAGGACATAAACTGACACGCAAGCAACCAATTAAGGGGCTAGTAGTGAAAAGGAAAGTACAGGAATCCAGAATTTCGCTTCAGAATAGATTCGAGGCTCTAAACGAGATAACCGACGTTAGCGTTGACACAATGAACGATAATCTTACTAGTATCATTAAAGAGAGTACAATGGAAGTGGGAGGTATGCAGTCACTAGACACGACACTGACAATCTATCGCAGGAAACGAAAAATCTCATTAAAAGACGACAAAACATGAAAGCGTCAAATGCAACTGACAATATAGAGCTAGGGGAGCTTTCGAAGTTAACCAATAGGCGCAATAAATCCGACAACAGAAGGTATAACATGGAGAGAATTGAGCAGGCTGTAAAAAGCGGCAGAAGCCCAAAAGCTGCGAAAGAAAACTTGTGCATAGGCAAAAAATGAATGTATGCATTAAGAGACAAGGAAGGCAATGTCATAAACAATATAGATAGCATAGTTGATGTAGTGGAGAAGTTCTACAGGGAGCTGTACAGAAGCCGAAACAACCAGGATGATATCGAAAGAAGCAATAATAGCCCAGAGAAATTCGACATCATACCAGTAATGGCAGGGGAAGAAAGGAAAGCCCTAGAAGGAATGCTACGAGGGAAAGCAGCTGGTGAGGATAAGGTAATAACAAACGTGCTGAAAGATGGCCGAGACATTGTGTTAAAAAAACTGGCCACCTTATATACGAAATGTCTCTGTAGGTGGGAAGGAATACCAGAATCTTGGAAGAACGCCAACATCATTTTAATTCATAAGAAAGAGGAAGTCAAGGACTTAAAAAATTACAGGCCGATCAGCTTACTGTCCGATCTCTACCGTGACTGCTTATAAAAACAATAGCTAATAAAATTAGGACAACATTATAGTTGAATGAACCAAAAGACTAAGCAGGATTTCGTGCATGCTGCTCCCCACTTGACCATATTCATACATCAATCAGGTAATAGAGAAATGTGCGGAATACAACCAAGCCCTATACATAGCTTTCATAGATTACTAGAAGGTGTTTGAATCAGTCGAGATATGAGCAGTAATGCAGGCACTATGGAATCAGGTCATCGACGCATTTACATAAACATTCTGGAAGAAAGTGGATACACAGCCACCATAGTTCTCCATTAAGAAAGCGACAGAATCTCAGTAAAGGAGGGTGGAATTCAGAGAGACACGATCTCTCCAATGCTATTCACCATGTGTTTACAGGAGGTTTTCAGGGCCCTAAATTGGGAAGAGTTAGGGATAAGAGTTAATGGGGAGTATCTTAGTAACCTGCGATTCACTGATGACATTGCCTTGATGACACCTTTATGAGATATCAGGGGACTAATTACAGTTCATGATTACAGAACTGAACACGGAAAGCATAAGAGCCCGTCTAAGAACAAAACTAAAGTAATGTGCTACAGTATCGGCAAAAAAACATCTCTTTGCGATGGGTGGAGAGACGCTAAGGTTGTAAAGGAATAATATCTACTTAGGACAGGTAGTAACCGTGGAGCCGAACCATGAGGGTTAAATAACTAGAAAAATAAAGATGAGGTGGATCACATTGGGCAAGCATTCTCAATTCACGGATGGCAATCTGCCACTAACCCCCAAGAGGAAGGTATATAACAGCTGCATCTTTCCAGTACTTACCTACGGAGCAGAAGCCTGAAGGCTTACAAAGAGGGTTCAGCTTAAATTGAGGACGACGCAGCGAGCGTTGGAAAGGAAAATTATAGGTGTAACCTTAAGCGACAAGAAGAGAGCAGAGTGGGTCAGGGAACAAACTGGGGTTAAGGATATCATAGTTCAAATGAAGAAAAGGAAATGGACATGGGCCGGGCACGTAGCACGTAGGCAGGATAACCGCTGGTCATTAAGGGTAACTGAATTGGATTCCCAGAGAAGGCAAACGCATGAAGGGGACCATGAAAGTTAGGCGGGCTGGTAAGAATAAAAAGCCTGTAGGTATATCGTGGCAGAGAAAGCACAACACCGGGTTGATTGGCAGATCACGGGAGAAGCCTTTGCCCTGCAGTGGGCATATATTCTGATAATGATGATGATGATGACGTTTGTTCCAGCCTATAGTTGGCATTTTCCCTAACGTCATAACCTACGGCTACCGACAACTGCTTTAAATCGAAATTTTAGCCTCTCGAATAAATAACTGCCTATAGCTGTTTTCTTTTGTTTCTTTTTTCAATTGCTGCTGTATAGAGTTGGCGTCTCCCCAGCCGCTACTGACCTCTCACTCCCACCGGGCCTTTCACATCTTAGGGCGCAAGCAATAAGTCACTCGTACTTGCATAAACACAACGTATAAGTGGTAGCAATGATAATTTATACCTCCCACATCCTAAAATGTACACGGCGCTTTCAGTTCTCTCGAGGACAACACGAGAAATGAAAAATACAGTGAAACCTCCAGAAAGCAAGCGTTGGCTGCCTGCGTGGCCCGTGAAACGCCTACAGGTTTCACCTCGCTACAACGATGTGCGTGCGTACGTGCAGTGAAAACGCAATCATGCGAGAGCCGATATTAGAAGTGCGTGTAAATGACGCTGAATCTTGTGCTTAGTCGGCAGCGTCATACTTGCAGCTTTAGAGATATGTAATGCTTGAGAGATAAAAAGGCTCAACACTAAAGAAATAGAAAAATCACAGGCGCCGAAGGGCTTGCGTACATACCCACTCCAGACGCGGCTTTTCTCGGACACCTTTGAAGAAGGATACACGCAGTTGATTGCACCCGCCACTGCGGACACACTTATCGCTTCGAATTACTTAAAGCCCTTCCCCAGCAACGATATCCCCGAGCAGTTGCCTTGAACTTAGAGAACTTTTTTTTTCTTTTCGGCGTTGTTTGTTTGTTTGCTTGCTGAGTGAAGAAGCCACTCTCATACACACGTTTAGCCATTCCAGGGAGCTTCTCGAGATCCTTATCAAATCTTGTTAAAGTCCTTGTACTGTGCACGCTTGCGACAGGCTGACAGCTGCGCGTCTCAGATGCGATAACGAAGAGATAAATAGAATAAATTAGTCGTGTCGGGGTAAATCGCCCGGCTGCAGGATAGACTGAAGCCAGCAGCAAGCTACATAAATGACGTTAACGAGAGTGCTGGCCGCTGGTCTGTTAGGTAGATATTCGTGCTTGTTATCCACGACGGAAAAGCTGTGCAGCCCGCGTATAAGAGCAACATATAGCCAGTTCTTTGCAAGACTACTTAGCGCGGCTCAATTACCTCCGTAATAGAACACGCGTCTACGACAAGGTGGTTCCTGCTTCGGCGCCAACAACTTGCTCTTCGGTGAAGTAATCAAATAGGCAGACATAACTGCAGAGGAGAAAAAAAAAGTCGTTACGTTTGCAAAAAAAAAAAAAAATGTCATGACGGCAATTTGCAATAACGCCTTTGAGAAAGAGAAAAAGAAGGATTAACAACAAGAGATGAGGCAGGGAAGTTAACCAGGCACATGTCAGGTTGACTACACTACGTGGTAAGGCCGTAAGCAGAATTTTTTTTTTTGGATGCACCTTCTTGATTGATTGATATGTGGGGTTTAACGTCCCCCAACCACTATATGATGACGAGAGACGCCGTAGTGGAGGGGTCCGGAAATTTCAACCACCTGGGGTTCTTTAACGTGTACCCAAATCTGAGCACACGGGCCCACAGCTTTTTCGCCTCCATCGAAAATGCAGCCGCCGCAGCCGGGACTCGATCCCGCGACCTGCGGGTCAGCAGCCGAGTACCTTAGCCACAGAAGCACTGCGGCGGGGCGGATGCACCTCCTTGAAATGGCAATTTCATTGAAATGGCAAAATGTCATGGCGAAAAACAAACAAACAAACAAACAACCAACCAAACAAACAAACAAACAGAACTGTTTCGTGGGCTGGGGGGAAGGTGGAAGGCACAGGCCTAGTATGCCACCCCCTGGTTAGCCACTGCTTCGCTGGGGGAATGAGAAAGTGGACTATGAATATAAGAGAGAGAGAAAGGGAGAGGAAAGAGAAAGGAAGGAGAGACGGAAATGGACAGTAAGTGTGCTGACGCGTATACGTAGTGGTGGCACCACACAAATGTCAAAGGCGTCCGCGAGAAAGAGAGAAAAGCAAGGAAAGAGATGTAGGTTAGTCAGACGCACATCTGCGCTACGATAGGGCATTCTCAAAATGATTCCAATGACGTCAGACGAACCGCCTACAATTAATCACTAGTAATCAAATTAACTGCACTAAAGAAAGAAGATTTTGTGCATCACGAGACGTAATAAAATGCTGCTTGTTCGTTTATGTTTGGTGCATGGAAAAAAAGAACCACCGGAAGTTACTATGGGGAACGGCGCGAAGTTGTTCAAAAATTGAATTTCCGTTTGGTTAAACTGGACAGATCGTTCCATCTAGCGGGGCCCAGTTGAACCAAAAGACGTCTGCCATCTCGAAGCCAATGACAGCCTTTGTTTTTGCTGTGACTCCCACTGCTTTTGTTCTGCTGCTCCTGGTGTCGGCGACCATGTAGTAAAGCCGGACAACGTTGTGCACGGCAACAGTTACGTGAAGACGTGAGACCGTCCGGCGGGCAGTTTGAAGTGCGCTAACCTGATGTGGACCTCTAAAACGTGATTTTATTTCAGAATAGGCACTTTCTTGACACAAAAGTATCAGTACGAGGTTTCTGGACCGCTATTTCAACAATCAACGTAGACTCAATAGTTGCCTTTAGTGTCCCTTTACGAGGACTGAACTCTGGGCGAGATGTTTCTATTCACCAGCGCAGCGGTGGGTATAAGGAAAATTGAACGGAAATAAAAAGAAAATTGGCCCCGTATCTGCACGTTACACTGCAAATTGTCGTCGAAAGACGATAGTCTTGCGTCTAGAGAGAGTGATCAAAACAGTTTAATTGATGTTCTGCGCAAGAAAAATTGGTGAATAGTATTCAGGAGGCGTAGCGTTAGAGTGCCTCGAAGCGTGCAGCGGAGGCGAACGAGCGCATCAATTCACGTCACACGTGAGACATGAGCGCTATCTGGAAGTTATGCTGGAAAACGGGGCGCATGGCGTGCGCGCCTGTCTCCTGAGGTGATAGGGTGTAGAACGCATTGGCGACGGGTAGGTGCCGCCACCGTGTCGTCTTAGCAAAGTGTTCAAAACACTGGCCATTTCGTGCAAGCATTGCATGGTCGGCGCACTGTGATAAACGCTATGGTCCTTAGAATTACTTATGTATGCCTTTTCTAGTAAAAAAATACACATACATAATATTGACGCGTTGTTATGATGCCTTTGATATGCGCGATAATTGCTTTTTAATTGACAATCGCACAAGTATGAACGCTGAACCTTGAGCAATATCGGTGGGCGCTGTGGATGGGGTCGGCCGTTTAGAGTATCGTTTGGTGAGTTTGGCGCCGTTTAAGGAATCTGTTAAGGGGAGACAAACCGAGAAATAGACAAACAGACAGACCAAAATTTTTGTGTCTAAGGTCCCCAAGAAAGACTATTGTCTTTAAAAAGGTGGAGTGAATGTGAGGTTAATTAGTCGAATGTGGAAAGGTTGCGATATATTTCATCCCCTTGTGGTGTCGTAGGTGCATGCTACTATCGGACAAACCTGGAAATGTTTGAAGAACTGTCTGATGGATCACAGGGCATCGCTAAAGGCCCCCCTTCGTGGAATCCGTGTCCTACGTTGCAGGGATTGCGAAGTGTCACTCTTTACTTCAAGAAACAACGGTGTTGTCCAGGCACAGAGATAGGAGAGCGAGAGAAGTTGCTGAGACTTTTTATATTCACAAGAATAGCGACACGTGTGTCACGAAGCCTTCGATCGCATTGCACCAACTGGAAATAGATTATCTAACTGCCAACCTCTAAACTTTTACGTCATTTCTTGCTATTGATATGCGTGCTTTCTTCAATAAAATTTCGCCCCGCCGCGGTGGTCTAGTGGCTAAGGTACTCGGCTGACTCGCAGGTCACGGGATCGAATCCCGGCTGCGGCGGCCGCATTTCCGATGGAGGCGGAAATGTCGTAGGCCCGTGTGTTCAGATTTGGGTGCACGTTAAAGAACCCCAGGTGGTCGAAATTTCCGGAGCCCTCCACTACGGCGTCTCTCATAATCATATGCTGGTTTTCGGACGTTAAACCCCACATATCAATCAATCAATAAAATTTCAGTTGCTAGTCTGCGCTTGTGTGTTCTTCTGGGTTCTTGTCTCTTTCTTGCGCAGTTTTCGCAATTATCACAATAAGATCGGCCATATTGAGTTTTGCGTCTTCTGCGTCAGGTGGCACTTGTCACCTATGAGATTTCTTCGACAGCAAACTTATTGTCTGTCGCACCCAAAAGTGACGTAGCCCACGTTTCTAGTCTAAATCCCCACAATGGTGACACGTCCATTTAGCGGGCGCCGAGATGGTGCCTTACCGACCGGGCTAATTTCACGCGTATGGAAATGTCACCACGGCACAGGCACTGAAATAACATCCAATGGTTGATGACAATGTTCTGGTGGTTTGATTCTCGAGCTGCCTTGTTGGCCAGCAATACTTTGTGCTCTGTGCAGCGTTAGCTCTATCATCTATACAGAATAAATCCTCACCGTAAAAGTATAGATTCTGATATGAATAAATATGCGCATCGATACTGAAATATAGAGTTTTCGTTCCGTATGATTAGGGCCGTGCGAATTTTCGACACTTTCGGTCAACTAATCGAATAGCATTCTGTTCGATTTGGCACTCGAATGGAATAGTGCATATTAGAAATACCGAATATTTTTCGAATAGTTAGCACCGGGGACAAAATATCGAATGAACGAAGCGTTGCAAAATAGAGCACAACGTTTATGTGTTCAACGATCGAGTTACCAATATGCACACAGGCCAAGGCTTCACGAGGGAGTGAATGCTAGGTTAATTACAGAATGACTAAGTCTTTTCTTGATTCTACGGAGTCGCCGAAGTGACAGAGTCATCAATCCACTATTTTCATCACGGAATTTATGATGATCTTGACTCATGGATATTGTTTAATATTTTGTAACAGTTTATTTAAAGCTGTTGATAAAGTACCACATTGAATTACTGTGGCCACTGTTTCATTTCAGCCGACATTTACAAAATGATTTCTAAGGTTTTTGTTGCTTCTAAGGTTTGTTGTTGCTGTAAGGTTTTTGTCGAATTCTCGGGCTGTTTTGAAAACTGGTCACATTGCCACTGTAGGGCTGCTTTGAAGATACCTGTCCTTACTATTCAAAAAGTATTCGCATAGTTTTTGATTCGTATACGATTTCTACTCGACTTGGTTTAAAAATTTTACTAGTCGCGCACCCCTAGATTACAACCAATCTGTTATGTATGCCATAATGAGGCTTTCCTTCATATGTTTTTTTTTTTTTTGCAACGAATGAACTCAGTCGATCGCTTTGCGTTGCGTGTGGAAACAAACTTCAGCGCGACGTGGAAGGCAATCACAAAATAAAGTATACATGTAATCTCCTTAGTCAGAACACGTGAAGTCAGTCTCCGTTCTTGTTTTCGTTTTATTGTCCGCTATCCTTCAACGATTTGAACAGCCTCGAAGCACGGACGATCGACCTAATTACGCTGATAAAGTGAGTTCGACAAAACGCTTCTAGTACGAAATATTAAATCATCACGCCCCGTATTGTCATACTAGGTCAGAGCCGAGGCTGTATCGGAAAGTAAGTTTGAAGTGTATGTTAGATCACTCCCG